GAACTCCTGACCTCGTGATGCACCCGCCTCCACTTCCCAAAGTGCTGGGATTATAGGCATGAGCCACCATGCCTGGTCAAGTTCTTTTTTTGAAAAGCCACTTGCACCAAGGGGAGAGAAAGAACCACTGACCTCATGTCAGGAGATGAGGGTCCCAGACAGCTGTACCACCAAATGAATCAGGACCATGGACAGGTCATCTGTCCTTTGGGCCTGTGCCCACTCAGCAGAAAACAATGAATGGACACCCTCTGTATTGGGACACAGGGTACAGTAGGGAACAAGCAAACATGGACTTGCCTCATGGAGCTTGTAGCCCAGAGACACTTTCTTCACATGGTAAAAGGACCAGTGGGTTTCAAACTCCCTCCTTATTGTAGAATTCCTTTTTTATACCAAAGCAAACTCATGTACAAAATTCTAGCTTAGGATGGAGTGCAGCCATCTTCTGATTGGAGCGAGAGGGGAAGGTTTGGGGCTAATCCTTCCTCCTAGGTCTCTCTTCTTAACCCCTTGGTACCCGCACTTTTCATGGTGTCTCCCAGAGCTCAAGGGCTCCATGCACCATGGTGTACAAACTCAAGTACTTTCCAGGACCAGTAACCTGTGACTTACAGGCAGTCAACATGGCAGTGAGTTCTGCCCATGTGGTTTAATGCTTCTCAGGAGCAGACAGTACAAAACTCTCCACTGCTTCTGCCTGAAAGCCTTTTTTAAAAAAAAATCTCCTGTCCCGAATACTTCATTGCAGATCATCTCATGATAAAGGCATTAGGTGCCTTCAGCATTTGTTCATACAATAAACGTGAGCCTTAGTTCCCAGAAGCTCTTAATTCAGCCTCCTTATTTTAAACATACTCTCATTTTTTTTGGAGACCAGCTCAAATGGTAGGAAGCATGTGGTCCAGGTCAGATACGAGTCTTGGTATGGACAGTATTTCATCATGAATGAACAAACAGACCACCTGGTGGGTCTTGACTTCAGCCTTAGATATTCTATGCAAACTTAGCGAAACAGGTTTATGGGCAAAAACAACCAGTGTACAGATACTATAAAAATGTAGGATTCATAAGCAGTTATACTTTCATTTTTTTAATTTGTTTTTGTGGCTAGTTCTTTCCCAGATCAGAAGCTTAGGAGGGGCTAGTAACAATTGCTGATAATCTAGGCTCTTACAAGGTTGCCTTTTTAGATTCTTCACTGTTTTTTTCTCCCCCACATTGTGACACTATGATTAAGTGTGTAACAGTAGTTAGCAGTGCAGTGTTGGGTCATGCCTGCTGTCTGCTTCTTAGTCATGTAAACTATTGGCCTAGTAAATGCAGATCTTCCTGTTAAGGTAGAAAAAGCATTGAGATTAGCTATTGTAATAGAGTCTGGCAGAAACTAAAATACAAACTCTAAATGAAGAGACCTTAACAAAAGGACTACTTACAAAGGTGTGAGGAAGCCCCAAGCTATAGATGGTGCAGCACCTAGGGAATAGCAGCAACTGAGAGCAGTAACTCCTGCAAGGTCTGAAGGGAGAAGAAGAGGGTGCAATTGCTGGAATCCAGAAAGAAAGAGAGTGAGAGAGAGGCCTGATAGGAGGAGCTCTGACCTTTGGTTGAGAGCTGCAGCCAACACAAGGATAGGCAGTAGAGAAAAATTCAGAAATCCAGGACAATAAGTACTTCAGCTTCCCTCTCTTCCCTCCTTCCTGTGAACTGTCAGCTGCATTCCCTATTGGCTGAGCCCAAGAGAAAGCCATGGGATAGGAAACCCATTGATGGGATAGGGAAGCCATTGATGGGATAGGGAAGCCATTGA